CTTCTTCTGCGCCTTCAACCAGGCCTTCGCGTCGACGTCGCCTCCATCATCTTCTTCACCAAGACCCTTGCCTTCCAAAGATGCGAAACGCTGGGCGGTATCTCGTTCCCTCTTCAGGGCGGCTGCGCGTTCCTCCCGTTTGCGCTTCGCAGCTTCGGCTTCGCGAACCTTTGTATAGTTGTCGTAGGCCTGCGCCTGTCGGCTTTCGAGTGTGCTGGGTGCTTCCTCGTCGTCGGAACCAGATCTGTCGCGTCGTGATTCAGCGGGTGCGGGAGCGGCGCCAGGCACAGGCAAGGGCTTCATGCCCAGCGACACGCGAATGCGGTTCGTCTCCTCGATGGTCGCGGCGTCCATCTTGGCGAGGGGAGGATGATAGACCGAATGGGTGGATGATTAGAATAGCGCGCTCGTGGTGACGTTGGCTAGAGGTGCGGCAATCCAGTGAAGTTGAAATGTGGATTCGCAGATCGGTTCAGAGCTTGGGGATTATTTGGGTACACCAAGGCATCAGGAGCGGACCTTCTTAGCAAGGCTGGGAATGCTGAGGCCAGTACCGGCGCAAGACCCACCCATCGTGGCCAACCAGAAAAGTCTGCGGCTCATCCAGCCGGACCCGCCCTAGTGATCTGGACAACGCTTAGCTAATCAAGGTGGGGCGAAAATTTAGTACATATCGCAGCCTTACGAATTTTCTTTCCTCTCTCTTTTCCTTTCTTCAACAAACACGGGTCTGTGTCCAGCGATCCTCTTCCCGTCCGCGGGTTAGAGTTGATTACTGCGACAGCTCGATCACCAAAGGAGCCATCAAATTTTCATGATGTCAATCTTCCGATCGACAGATCCAAGAGAGACCGGTCTTTGGGAAGCCATGTTCGCTTCGGCTTGAGCGTGGTGGAACATTGTACTGGGGACGTCATATTCCTACCCCTTCATCCGAGATCGTCGATCAATGAGGTTAGGGAAAACCATGACTTGCCCAAATACTTTCACCCGTAGGTATTTTTCCTGTAATCGTCCTGGCGCAGATTTTGCGAAACTGCTGTCTGCTGCTTGCTGTTGTTGCGCCACCGTGATTTCCTCCCATCTCCAGACGGGAAGGCGTCTAGAATGGCATGGCTTTCCAAATCGTAATTACGAGCCTTGCTCGAGCATATGCTCTGTCGTAATTGCGCCCAGAGCGCATCTGCTCATAGATGAGGGAGCATGCCCTTCCAGAAGGTGAAGTTCACGATGTGGTTGCCCGGTCTGGTCAAGTGCAAATTTTGCGCCTGCTCCTTCCTTACCAAGATCCCCGTCGCGAAGTGCAAAACGCTTCACAAAACATCAGGGTCGATGAGCACATGAAAATTGCTGCAAGCAGAGCTGTCAGATTTTTCTGCGGCCAGTTGCTCGGCGCATTCGTGCCTGGCGCTGTCATCCAAGCAGACCATTCCGCGATGGATATTGCACCTGCATCAGGGTGCCCACCCTTCCGCTTCCAGGTGGCATCAAGGTTTGTCGGTTACGGCGCAGATCCCCGTTCTGGGTATCCCGGCCGGCCGTCAGAACGGTCGAGGAGTGGGAGCTGGCCGGTGCGGGGTGCATCCCGTGTGATCTGGGGTAGCTGTTCGCACATGTGTCGAACTCCTCCGGCCCGATATCAACAGGAGACTCCGCCCTGCCATCCATCACACATGCTGCTTGACACTACTGCACGGTAATGGTGAGGTTGTCGCATAATGCTCTGTCCCGTCTTCATCCAGGCATTCTCCGAAATGACGCAACTTTGGGTCTTCGAGCTAGTGGGAAGGTCTGGCGTGTACTATGTACACTTACTACACAGTGACAGCTTCAACAGAGCTCGTGCAACCAGGTGTTAAATCCGCTCACAAAATCTATAACCTCCGCCGTCATTCAGCTCCATTCCCTCGCACCTACCAGTGTAGGTTAGCAAGGCACAAGCTAAAGTATTTCCCTAAGACGAATTTGGCTATCAAGCCATGCTTGACGTGTCTGGTCATTCGATCAGACTAGGCCTCGGGACGGGGGTTGTGCGGGGGAGCAAACGCCCTTGTCTCCTCCACCTCCGCAACCCCAACCTCATCTCATCTGTCCGTCATCACAAAACCACCAATAACACCCTCCAGTTCCTGGCGGATAGGACCGAACGGCAAGGTTGTCTGATCTGCTTGCCGACAATATTCGAACCCCTGTCGCCATTTCTTGGTCTTGGCCGAGTTGACTCTTGGAAAAGCAAGCAGTCTGGCCCACGTGCGCCCTGTGGGATACCGTAGGAGCCGTAGTTGGGTGCTACCCTCCCCCAGCAGGACAGAACAACTCCCGAAATTTGAGGGGAAACCAACGAGACTGAAGTCATAGACAAGGCCGGAGTGTCGATCGAAGTTGGGGGAGCTGTCGGGAGCAGAAGGGGTTGATATTGTCAGTTGGGACAAAGCTTTGGGTAAGATGGCTCGCTGGTGATGGTCTGAGAGAACCGAAACTTGGTTCTGAGATGGTTTGACCGACATGAGTCCACGATCAGCACTGGAAGGGGGCAATATTGGATCAAGAGGCTAATGCAGGCCAACTTGACAGCTCGGTGATACTCTGGCATTCGGGCCTTCAAGGCACATCAGATCGAACCACCCCGGACAGATACCATTGTCGTGCCCCTCGGCGGGATATATAGTCACCATGGTTGCCCTTCAACATGTCATGTCAGGGGCACTGACAATCAACACAACCGAAATCACCCCGCCCATCATGAAGCTGTTCACTTCTGCCCTTCTTCTCGGCTCCATCGCCACCCAGACCATCTTCGGATACCCTGGGGCGAGTGTGATGAAGAGAGATATTGACTCCTTCATCGCCACGGAAACCCCAATTGCCCTTGCTCAGTTGCTTTGCAACATCGGTCCCAATGGGTGCCATGCAGCCGGTGTGAGCTCTGGTATCGTCATTGCCTCCCCAGACAAGACCGATCCTCCGTGTAAGTGAAAGCCTGGTCTCCTCAGGGTTTTTGCAAAGTCAAGCTAATCCTCATAGACTTCTACACCTGGACTAGAGACGCTGGCCTCGTGTTCAAGGCTGTGGTTGACATCTTCACCAACAGTTACGATGCAAACCTGCAGACCAACATCCAGAATTACATTGCCTCTCAAGCCCGCCTCCAGGGTGTGTCGAACCCTTCAGGAAGCTTGAGCGACGGTTCCGGCCTTGGCGAGCCCAAGTTTGAAGTGAATTTGACCCCTTACACGGGGGCTTGGGGTACGCCAGAGAAACTTTAAAACACATTACATACTGACAGCTTTTAGGACGGCCTCAGAGGGATGGGCCGGCTCTTCGTGCAATCGCAATCATCGGTTACGCCAAGTGGTTGGTTAAGAACGGATACTCCTCGACCGCTTCGTCTGTTCTTTGGCCCGTCATTCGCAATGACCTGAACTATGTCGCTCAGTACTGGTAAGAGGTGAAGGTGCTGTCTCCTATGCTCGGTGCTGATCCACTTCTAGGAACCAGACCGGCTTTGATCTCTGGGAGGAGGTTCAGGGAAGCTCGTTCTTCACAGTTGCCAGCCAACATCGGGGTAGGTAGATCTAAGGCCCATCGATTGCTCGTCGCTAACATTGGACGCAGCTCTCGTAGAGGGCAGCGCACTTGCCAAGTCATTGGGCCTTTCTTGTAACTCCTGCGATGCCATTGCTCCTCAGGTTCTGTGCTTCCTGGGAAGATTCTGGTCTCCATCGGGTAACTTCATGGTTGCCAACAGTAAGCTGAACGTCCCGAATTCCGGCCGTTAGCGGTGGCTACTGACACACACAACCCGAACAGTCAACGGCAATGGCAGATCCGGCAGAGATGCCAACGTTATCCTGGCCTCCATCCACAACTTCGACCCGGCGGCCGCCTGTGATGCTGCTACCTTCCAGCCATGTAGTGACAAGGCTTTGGCTAGCCACAAGGTTGTAGTTGACTCCTTCCGCACCATCTACACCATCAACAACGGCATCGCTCAGTCGGCTGCCATCGCTGTCGGCCGCTATCCCGAAGATAGCTACTACGGCGGTAACCCCTGGTATCTCAACACATTGGCTGCTGCCGAGCAACTCTACGACGCTCTCTATGTCTGGAAACAACAAGGCTCCATCACGGTGACCCAGACTTCCCTGGCCTTCTTCAGAGACCAGCTCGGCTCTGTAGCTCCTGGCACCTACGCATCAGGAACCTCGACGTACACATCGCTGATCAATGCGGTGAGCGCCTACGCTGATGGCTTCATGAACGTGGTCGCAACATATGCCCAGACCAATGGCTCTCTTGCCGAGCAGTTCTCCCGAAGCAACGGACAACCCCTCTCAGCAGACGATCTTACCTGGTCGTACGCCGCGTTTTTGACAGCTGCCCAGAGACGTGCCGCTGTCATCCCTCCTGGCTGGGTTGGCAGTGCTACTTCTGTTCCTGGCACCTGCGCGGCCACTTCCATCGTTGGCTCCTATACGAGCGCCGCCGCAACCTCTTTCCCTGCCAACCAGACTCCAGGCACTGGTGTGCCGCCCACGGCAACGACAACTGGTCCTACTCCAACTGCTACATCTTGTCCCGGCTCGGTGCTCGTCACTTTCAACGAGAGAGTCGTCACGCAGTTCGGCCAGACGATCAAGATTGTTGGAAACACTGCCCAGCTTGGCAACTGGAGCCCAGGCAGCGCTATTTCTCTTAGTGCTTCAGGATACACGTCTGCCAACCCTGTGTGGTCTGTGACGATCGAACTGCAGGCCGGACAGGCTATCCAGTACAAGTACATCAATGTCGCCAGCGATGGTACTGTGACCTGGGAGGCCGACCCTAACCATATTTACATCGTTCCCTCGTGCACCACAGCGGCGACGAAGTCTGATACCTGGCAGTGATCAACGTGTACTTGAACTTCGGCCTAGCTTGGCATATTTGGGTTTGGATCATAGGTACAAACGGAACCCCTGTACATAGTCGGGAATAAGTATATGAGCAGTAAAACTTTATTACTCGGCCTTCTCTGTCGCCCTCCGCTCGAGTTCTGTAATGATGATCTCGATGGTCCATTCCAAAGTCGTCTCCATGTCGATATCTAGACCCTTACCGAGCTGGGCCTTGATATCCTTTTCTTGCAAAACCTTCTCGTTCAGCCTACCCTCCACATTGCCCTCTTCAAACAACCACTGGTGCGCTTCAACATAATTAGGCCAAACAATCTTGTCAACATAACCAGGCGGGTCCTTCCAGAAACCTTCCAGAGTGACATAGCCATCGCGGGCCTCGCGCCGTTGTTGTGCCTTGGCTCGGCTGACCAGAAGAAATAGCTTGATGTCGATAAGGCTCATCGTAGTCTCCATTTCCTTGCAGTACAGAAGGAAGCCGTCGAAAAGGCAAACTCTCAACTTGCCCTCGGTGAAGATGGCGTGTCCGGGCTGGCCTGGTTCCAGCCAACGGCTGACCCTTGCTTTCATGGCAGCAATCTTTTCATCAGAGACTGGGCACTTTCCGACAGAGTTTTGGTCCTCCTTGGAGTCTACGAAAGGCTATTCAAACCGTAAGTATACTTGAGAGCCACAACTCTTATCGCAACTCACTGGAAATGTCCCATTTTCACGGATATGAGTAAGGGCCTTATTCATGTCAGGCACTGAGATGGCCTCAGGGCAGTCCCAGTCGAGGAGCCCATTCTTCGTGGGGAGCCTACCGGATTATGTCAGTCAGATAACGATATCAGACATCAGATTTTACTTACTCAGACTCCGGCTTGTAAAAGTCATCTTCGTGGAGGATAAAGGTGTTGGGGAAAATATCTCGCAGCAAGCGAGCTAGCGTCGTCTTGCCGCTTGAAGAGCAGCCGCTGAGGCCTATTACCACGTTATTGCCCTCGCTCATCGTGAAGGATCTATCTGATACGAGAATCTTGATAACGGTTAGCCAAGGCACTCTGACGTAGACTTATTTAGAAGAGACTGTCTATCTTTTGCCGCCTATCTTCCCTATGTCACGCGACATGTGTACATACTAACGACGACGGACAGTAGACTTGCTGACAGAGGAAGCAAGCGGTTTCTTATGAAAAGAGACAATAAGGCTCTTGGCAGATAAATAGTAAGACCTACCAAGTGAATGTAACCGCCGGTACACCCAAATATCGCAGTCTAGACAGACCGCCTCGTACATGTGTAAGCGGGAGATGGATAGAGCCAAGTCTTCATCCAAGATTACGACTTGCAGTAGCTCAGATCTCCGAATCAACCCCCACCATGACCCCTCCCTCGCACGGCCAGAGATTCAACGGTGGAGACAACCGCTGAAGGGCTCCCTGGCAGCTGTCCAGGTAGTCCAGGGGGGTTTCAGCCACACACGGGGCAGCAGGCAAGCCCCTGACGTGCGTCATCCGGCCAGGCACAGCGCTGTTCACTGCAGCAGCATCTCCAAGTGCATCTGCCCACAAAAAAAGCTCAAGTTCATCCCAACTTTCCGCCGTCTCCCAGCGCCGTTATCTCCCAGCGTCCCGTCTCCCATCGTCGTCGTCGTCGTCTCCCAGCGTCGCTCCCCCATCTCGAGAAAACCAAGAACGCCAACAATGGCCATCCACGACGCCACCACGGGGCAGAGCGCTGCCGTCATCACGACAACCCTCGTTGCCTTCCTTTCAGGCTTCATGCTCGGTGTCTACACGATCCGCGGCTACCTCATCTCCCCTGAGCTGCGCGCCGAAGCTCGCGCCAACAAGGAGGATCCCATCGAGAGCGAGGAATCTGATATCGACGAGGACGATACCATCCTCGATCACGCGCCTAACTGGTCCAATGCCGAGGCCGCCGACGTCCGTGATGGTCTGCGCCAGCGCAACACTGCTGAGAAGAAGGCCAAGAAGCCGAACCCGGAGAAGGCACCGCTTGCTGATTCGAACGAGGAGTGCAAGCTTGTGCTTGTTGTCAGGACGGATCTGGGAATGACCAAGGGTACGTTCCTCCCCAAAGAGCAAGACCCCTGCTTGTATCTCGAAGCTTACAAACCATTGTTCCTACAGGCAAGATGGCGGCGCAAGCCTCCCACGCGACCCTCGCATGCTACAAGTCCCTCTCGAAGGCCGCCACTCGCGACCCATCTTCTGCTGCCGCCAAGATCCTTTCCCGCTGGGAGCGCCTCGGCCAGGCCAAGATTGCTGTCCAGATTAAGGACCAGAACGAGATGCTCGAGCTCATGGGCAAGGCGCGCAGCTTGGGCATCACCGCCGAGGTCATTGCCGACGCAGGCCGCACGCAGATCGAGGCCGGTAGCTTGACCGTGCTCGGCGTCGGTCCTGCGCCGAAGAGCCTTGTCGACCAGGTCACCAGCCACCTTAAGCTGCTGTAAACGAAAATGGAAGGAATCCGTATAGGGATATCAAGACTTGGCACGAAACATAGACTTCAGGGAACATACATGAAATGAGCGTAATGGCGTACGGTATACAAAAGTTGGCGATGGGCTTGATTGTATTTCACATGGCATGTGGGCATTAGCTATCTCATCGATGATTAAAAAGTCCAATTTGGTGAACGTTTCAATCACGAAGAACTCATCACTGCCAGTCAATCTTGAGCGTGTTCGGTACAATAAATCGTCCCACTGTCGGGTATTCATGTTCACTAAGGGAGCAAATGCCTAAACGCCTCTTACATGCAACCAACTCCCGGTCCAACTTTTCACTTTTACATAGACCGCCCATTATTCCTTGCGCGCAAATCTCGACAGCGCCGGGCCTAGATCCGCCTCGACCTCCTGGTGCTTCCTTTCTCTCGCCTTCTGTCGCTCCTCCCAGATCGCATCCACCTTCATTCTCTTCTCGTCGAAGACGTTCTTCTTGCGCTGCTTCCTCAGGTACTTGCTCAAAGCGCCGCCCTTGCCTCTCGCCCTCTTGCGGATCTCCTCTTCGATTGACAGGGGCTTGGAGTCCAAGTCCTTCTCCTCCCGACGCTGCTTCTCCGACCTCAGGTCGATGTTGCCAATGTAGTTGGGATCCAGGGCAATCATCTCGGGCTGGAGCTTGTTCAGCAGGCCCTTGACTTCGGCCTCCTGTCTCTGCTTGGCGGTCTCGAATGGGTTGACCTCCAGGGCGTCGAAGTTGGCCTCTCCGGCGCCAGGGACGATGATGGACGAGAAACCCTCATCGTGACCCATGCCGAGAACATCCTCGAACGGGCACCACCTCACCCGCTCCATGCGCTTGCCCTCGCCACCCCACGCCATATAGGGGCTCTGCACCTTCTGCTGGACGAGCTCGTTCTTGTTGAAAAGATCCTTCCAGATGCTGGTTTGGGTTCCCCAGCCAACAGCCGTAAGACCGGTGTCGGAAATGGCCACCGATGACGCGGGTTGCCTTGTGAAGTAGCTGTTCACCTCCTTGAACATTCTGATATCCCAGACGGCCATCTTGCAGTCCTGACCGGTCGAGACCATGTAGCGACCTTCCCTGTCGATGGCCATTGACCTCACAGGGCCTCTGTGAGCCAGCAGCTTGACGAGAGGCTCTGACTGGTTGGGCGACCACAAAGTGACCGTACCGTTCTGATGACCGACATGGAGAACGGCGTTCCAAGGGTTCTGGGTCAACGATGTCGGAGGGCCGAGTTTGGTGGGATACTCGGCGACGATGTTGCCGGTGGAAACGTCCTGGTACTTGAGCCAGCCAGTCGCCGCCTATGACAATTAGCAAGGTCCAGAGAAACAAGTCGTCAGCTGTACTTACTACTGTACCGAGGAGGAAGTGGTAGGGAAGGAATTCCATATGCGTGACCTCCGTATGTTTCCTCAAGCAGTGGATCTCGACACCATTCCTGTCGTAGATGTAGGTATACTTCTTCTGCGCAGCAGCGAAGAACTGGTTGTTGTGAAGCCATCGCACATCCCTAATCGTCTCACCAAGCTGGATCTCACAACCCAGCTTGCCTTCCCTCCAGTCGAACGTCGCGACGTGACCCTTGCGACCAGCCAGCAGCAGCTCCCTTCCGTTGCGAGTGTACTCGCCCAGATACGGCCCAAGTTCCTCAAGCTTCAGCTCAAAGCGCTTCTGGGCCGTCAAAACAGCAACTCCTTCGCTAATGTCGTCCTGGCGAACCTTGTACGTCCTCTCAAGCTCCGTCTCGGCCTCGAGGAACCCGCCGGTGTTCTCGAGCAGGATCTCGGCATCCTTGGCCTTGTTGGCGGCATCGCGGTACTTGTTCTCGAGTCGCGACAGGTTGGTGCGCAGCTTCTTGTCCTTGATGTTCTTAACATTCACGCTCTTGCCGCGGCCGTACGCCTTGTTCGCCTCCCTCTGCCGGCGGATCCTCTCGAGCTTCTCGCGCTTCTCGCGTTCCTCTCGCGGGACGAGGGCCGTACGCTGCTTCACCTGGACGGCGCCATTGTCGTGTGTGTTGTTCCGAGATATCGTCTTCGTTTCTGCGCTGTCGATCTCCATGTTGGGCGACGCCGTCGTGGTCGGATGCGCGTGTCTCGTGCAGATGCCGTCACGGGGGTGATAAAAAACGCGAGACCCGGAATTGAGAGATCAGCAGCAGCAACTTTTGCACCCTGTACCGGGCGGTCCAGCAAAATTTCTTTATCTTATCGGAACTCTTTCCTCGCACTGACATTCCACTGTCGGTGACGGCACCCAATTGGCGCAGACATTTTTAAATGGGGCTTATCGATAGCACACAAGTGCACTGGAATTTTTTGAACAACCCCGCCATCACAGGCGCAAAACCGAAATTCGAGTCCAAACTCCGGGTCGCTTTAAGTGCTGTCACACCGATTTTCTCAGTCGTCGTGCGAGCAACTTGCGCCCAAACTGGCTTCATTACCTTTTCGATTCAAGGCTGGAGGCGACGGCAACATGTCTGCCTCGGTGAGTCACTCTCATCGACCAACCACCAAGCAAGTCAACAAGTCCTTCAAGTCAGGCAAGCATGCATCCAAGGGTGCGCTGAGGGACGCCGCCAAAGGTTTGCCAATCCCCAATATTTCTCCCCGCACAAAACTTCGGAGCGCTCGAGTGGTGTGTTTTGTCGCAAGAACATATAAGAAACTGACTGTCCCTCTACAGGCAGACTCGGAGGCGAGCGCGGCCAGCGAAAGACACCCCACCAGCAAGTCATGTCCAAGTTCGACCGAAGAAACCAGGCCAAGCAGCGCCAGATCGCGAAGCGCAAGGAGCATTTGGAGGAGACGTCGATTTTTGCCGGAAAAGATGGAGCCCCCAGGACTGTCGCTGTTGTGCCCCTGTGCAAGGACGGCAACGCCGCGACCGCCATCAAGCAATTGAACAGCAGTCTGGACATCGAGGTCGAGGTGTTGGAGACGCCGTTCCGAGTTCCGGTCGACCGCTTCAAGCAGAAGTTGCAGTATATCCCCCTCAAGCGCGACCTGAATGCTGTTCTGGACGCCACTCGGGTCGCCGACTTCGTGGTTGTCATGCTCTCGGCTGATGTCGAGGTGGACGACCTCGGTGAGCTGATGCTGCGTGGTCTGGAGAGCCAGGGTCTGTCAACGCTCTTCACCGTTGTCTACGGCTTGGACAAGATTGAGCCGGCGAAGCAGAAGACGTCGACTCTCGCCTCTCTCAAGTCATACATCACCCACTTTCACCCTGAGCAGGAGAAGCTTTACAGCCTGGAGAACAGGCAAGAATGCTCCAACCTCATGCGCTCTCTCTGCAACACCACACCGAAGGGCGTCAGGTGGCGCGAGGACAGGAGTTGGCTATTGGCCGAGGAGATCAAGTTCCCCAACTCGGGCCTTGACTCGACCGTTGTTACTGGTATCGTGAGAGGAAGAGGCCTGAAGGCCAACCGTTTGATCCAGCTTGGCGACTACGGCACATTCCAGATCGAAAAGATCACTTCTGCGCCTTTGCCGAAGCA